AAGATGGGGCCTGGTGAGAGGTCTTTAGGTCACTGGACTGTGTCCATGAAGGGGAAAGCATATCCCCAGTCTCTTTCTCTTCCTCTCTGTTTTTCATTTTCCAGCCATCAGATGAACAGTTTTGCTCTGCCATGCATTTTCTCCCTAATGAGCCACCACAGGTCCAAAACAACAGGGTCAATCTATCATGGACAGAAGCCTCTTAAAACTATGAGCCAAAATAAACCTTTTCTCTTTGTGAGCCAATTAACAGAAGTATGTGTTATAGCGAAACACATACTTCTGTTAGAAAGTTAACACACCAGCCCAGATAGAGAGGACATCTGTAACCATGGTAGTGAGGCAGAGTAGAGTCTTTTCATCTTTGAATCCTCTGGCCAAACAGGCACCAAACAGATGCCTAGTAAACACAGAATATGCTACCTCTGGTATCTACTTATAGTATAAACTCATATTCTCCTTTTTGCCTGCTGCAGTGTAAGAGATGCTCCTCTCCTATTCCAAGATTAATCCCTGGCTCAATGCTTGGTGTCCCAACCCATCTCTGTTTTCAGTAATCTTGTATCATTGCCTTTCTCTACCAGCATCTCCAAATTCTTATTAATTCTAGAACCCCTTTCATAGAAACAATTCTATGAACTCCCTTAGAAATTTATTAAATCACTTCATTATTATACATGATAAAGAGGAAAATTTAGTAAAATAATTTTACTTAAAATAAGGATAAATGTAAAGATTATAATTTGATATTTATTTTGAAAGTAACTTTCCTATTTAGTAAATAATGCCACAATTTCATTTCATAAATTAAGTCCTTTCTGTGTTAATAGTGTTAAGAAAAACGTATAACTGATCAATAGCATAAATATTTTATCATTCAAAAGTAGATTTCAAATTAAACCCATATTATAGAATTAAAACAAAAATAGCTCTGTTATGCTTTTATAATTTTTTTGTTTTTTGAATGTTTAATTGTGGCTTTCTCTTTTTGTTATTAAATTATAAAATATAGATTAAGGTGTCAGTTTTCTATTTTCAAGCATTATTTTTGAAATTAAAAATATTAATCTTAGTCTTAAAGTCTTAATTTCAAAATTAAAATGTCAAATTATAAAAAAGTCAATATGTATTTTGTATTTTAATACTGGCTCTTGCAGAATAAATTATTGGGGCTGGGATTGTAGTTCAGTGGTAGAGCGTTTGCCTAGCATGTGTGAGGCACTTGGTTTGATTCTTAGCACCACATATAAATAAATAAAAGGTCCACAGGTAATTAAAAAAATTTAAAAAGATAAATTATTCTTTAAAAAATAAAATGTGTGGATTTGGTATAAAGATCATCCTGAGGCTTGTTTACAGGAGAATATTCAAATTTAAATTCATTATGAGTTTGTTACATTGCAATCAGAAGCTTTTAGACTCTAGACAATGATTTATATACACATATCATTTAAAGAATACATTACTACACAAAAGGAAAAGAACAATGCAGAACTATATAACTGACACAACACATAGGATTGCTGGGGGTTGGTAACACAGTACAGAGCAGATGAGATCACACTAGTGTTCAATGGAATGTTGAACTTGGAGGCCTTGTTTACTCTAATAGACTGAGGGGCTCTCACAGGGTTCTATTTTCCAGGGAGAAATATGTGAATCAATAATTATTTTAAAATAGAAATGGGAGAGGGAGCCATCTTTATCATGACTTCCCTAGGTTGCCTATGTGGACACAAGAGGTTCCTTATCATTAATCTTGATCTTTACATCTTTAGTGATCTTTACAGTCAGAATTTAATGCGTTTACATTTATTCCAACTTAAAATCAAAAAAATTCCCTGCCTTAAAATGGTCCTTCCAAAATATGCCTCCACCAAAAGTTGGTCCCTCTGTTTCTCTTGCTTTCTGTCTTCTTTTGCAGCCAAACCTCATAAAAAAGTGGTTTAAATTTGCTATTTCAGATATTCAACTCTAATTTTTCAACTCCTGTAATCTGGTTTCAAATCCACCTACTCTTCAACTAAAATTGTTTTTGTTAACGTAACCCATGATGTGCTTGTAAATCAAAGGCCAGTAGATACTTTTCAGTCTTATTTAACTTAACTCAGGAGCATCTGATTGATCACTTCCTTTTCCCTAGGCATTTCCATCCTTTCATATGTGTGACAACAAGTTTTTAATTTTCTTCAGGTTGCTTTGTCTCAATCTCTTCTTTCAATGTTTACCTTACCTTTAAAAGTGTTGGTGTTTCTTGGGATCCATAAATCCTTCTTTCTTCCTATTATGCTTATTTCTGGTGACCTTATTTATTCCCAAAGTTTGGAATATCCTTCAGAGACCAAAGGAGATTTCTATCACCAGCCCAGACCTACATCCTTAGTTTTCCCCTTTAAGTCCACCTGCTTATTCAACATATCCATTTGAACAATGCATTTGAACATTAAATTCAACATGGTGAAAACTTAACACTTGGTCTTATTCCAAACCCAGGAAATCTCTTTTTTTATTATTTTTTAAATTTTTTTTATTTTTAAATATTTATTTTTAGTATTTGGCGGACACAACATCTTTGTTTGTATGTGGTGCTGAGGATTGAACCTGGGCTGCATGTATGCCAGGCAAGTGCGCTACCACTTGAGCCACATCTCCAGCCCTGCCCCAGGCAATCTCAACCACAAACCTACTTCTTTGAAGTGTTCTTTAGTTCTCAATAAGTAACATCACTAGACACTCCTTGCTCATGCTAGGTTCTTGACATGCTCTCCTTCTCTATCCACAACCAAGAGCCAATTAATTAAGTCCTGTGGATTCTATCTCCTATGTAATTTCCCAATCTGTTTGCTTCTCTTCATCCCCATTATTATCAAGCCCAAGCCACCACCACCACCATCATCACTTGACAACTCCAATAGCTCCCTAATTGAACTTAGATATATCACTATGGTTCTACTCTAATCCATTATCTGTTCTGGGTTATTATTAAAATGCAAATCTGATTCCATCACTCACCTCTATTTTTAAAAAACATTTTTAAAAATTTCTTCCCATTAATAACAGGATAAAATAAAAAGTCTACAAAAAAATTTAAAGGCCATGCCTGAAGGTCTGGCCTTTGCCTATGACTCTCCAACCTCATCACACGCCACTCTTTATTATGACCATTTATTAAGTGTTCTTGTACCACACAGCATATTGCTTTTTTATGAAATCATTGTTGTAATTAATTTGATATTCATGAAATTCTTCTGTCAATATTCACCTTCCCTGTAAAGATGTAAGCTCCACCAGAATGGAATTCATATCTACTTTGCTATTTTAGTATCAGCACGTGGTAGAGAACATAATACATAGTAGCAATCAATAAATATTTGTTGAAGGAATGAGTCATTAATTTGCTCTCTGACCTTTACTTGGCAAATTTATCTTTCTAAACCTTAGTTCTCCATCTGGAAATTGAGATGATAATAACAGGTTTACCTCAAGATACATAAGATAATATGCATGAGTACATTTTGTGAACTGTAAAGAAATATAGCAATTTTAAAAGAAATATTAGAAATATGCTTTAGTTGCCTCATAAAGGAGCAAAACTAAGGCCCATGGGCCCAAATGTCTGGCTTTTTCTGACTTGTTCTCTAGCTAAGAATGATCTTTACCTTTTAAAGGGTCTAAAAAATAAAACAAAACACAAAACAATATTACAGAAACCTTGTGTGACCTGCAAAGCCTAAAATAATTACTCTTTCTACCTTTATAGGAAGTTTGCTGACTCCTGGCCTAGAACAGGGGATAGCTAGGCTTAAGTGACTATTTTAACAAGTAAAAGAATGAATGATTATTTGCAGATATACCTGTACTTTAATATTTCAGTGATTAAAAGTGATACTATTTTCTGACTGCTTTTCATATATTCAATATAGCAATTAAAGCTATAAAATTATCCTACCCCTCCATGCTATGTTTACTTTAAATTAAAAAATAAAAGGGGTTTATGGAGGGGGTAGAATAATTTTTTCTAAATTATATCAACTATTTTTGAAAGACAGAAGGCATGGTATGGCTGGGGGGATGGGATAGGGATAGAGAGCTGGATACCAAGAAAATGATCTTTATTGGAAGGCTGACTAGTGTTGTTATTTGATTGTTGTATAAAAGTCCAAATCTGCAGAAACCAACTTATTATTGGCTGTGCAATATTCAGATTTTTATTCTTGAGAAATCATGTATCACACAGAAATTAGAAATGGTATCATAAAACACAATAAAGATCTGTGTTTGCTATCAAAAACAAAAGAAAGCAAACACAAAACTCCAATACTGTCCAAAAAAAAAAAAAAGAAGTTTGGGGTCAAAAGATCAAGATCCAAGTTTGAAGTCTGTGACTTTAAGTATATCCATTAATCTGTTTGAGCTGTTTTTTTTTTTTCACTCAGAAAAAGAAGAAAATAATTGCTGATGACATTTACTGGTGGCTATTATGAGTCAGATGCTTTACTCAAATTTTTTACCAAAGTGGGCATTCTTAGCATCAATACAGAGTTGAAAACACAGACCCTCTGATAGATTGAGTGACTTGCCTAAAGTAACACCACTAGAAAGAAGTAAAGGGTTTAGAGTCAAATCCTGATTCTATAGTACTATGAACACCAACCTCTCATAAAATATTTAATGTCTTTAGGACTACTACATGCTTTATCTTATAAAAAGCATATAAAACTTAATATTTAAAAGAAGTGTTTTGAATTTTCTCCATAATACAATATTACCAACTCAGGCTTTAAAGACTATTTTCTCTACTATTCTATATTAAATCTAATTCTAGGTATATAGAGAATAGTCAGAAGGAAATGTTTCTTCTTCTCTATAAGAGCAACTTAAATCGAGGGAGCATAAATACACAGAAGTATTAGATTTTGAGTCATATTTCAAAATTCTCCTCTGTGTGAATCAAACACATCCAAAATATGGCACATCAGATACTATTAAACTTTTATTACCTCTGCTTCATTGTCTCATGTACTATCCCATGCTGGACACACTGTTCCTCCAATTCATTATTTCTTCTCTGTAACTTTTCTAGTTTGTCGTATGTATATTTTTTTTCTTGACTGAGTTGAGCTATTTCAGATCTAAAGAGGTAAAATCACAGAAATAATAAATGTTCTTAAAAAATAAAGCATATTTTTATTGTATAATCTTAACATTATCTTAAAATTCATACTTTAGCATAACTTTGTAATTAAAATTATTTGATGTAAAATAAAATACTTCAGAAATTTCAAAATGCTAGTGGGGGATATATGCGTTGTAAAGACTCAAGTCTCTACAGAAATAATATAACTTACTCCAATAAAATGGCTTCTCTAAGGAATAAGAAAAAGTGATAATAATCAACTCTCTTTATAAAAAGACTAGAATTTGGGGTTAGGGTTGTAACTCAGAGGTAGACCACTTGCCTGTGAGGCACTGGTTCTATCCTCAGCAACCACATAAAAATAAATAAAATAAAAGTATTGTGTCCATCTACAAATAAAAATATATTTTTAAAAAAGACTAGAATTCATCAAACAAATATTTCTTGAGTGCTTCCTGTAGCCCTGCTATCAAGCTGTTCCAGAAGTAATCCCATACCTCATTTCTATAAAAGTTTATTTTAGTTAACATAGCCAACTTAATGGTATACAGTTAAAAATCAACTAGTTCTGCAATGGCTAATTTTATGTATGAACTAGACTGTACCATAGTATTGAAATATATGGTCAAACAGTATTCTGGATATTTTTTGTGAAGGTATTTTGTGGATGAGATTCATTTAAATCAGTGGGCTTTGAATAAAGCAGATTATTCTCCATAATGTGGAAAGGACTCCTCCAAAGACTGACTTGTCAGGAGCAAGAGAATTCTGCCAGCAGATGGCATCTAGACGTGAACCACATCTCTTCCTGGGCTCCCCATCCTGCCTATCTATCCTGAAGATTGCAATCTTACCTAGCCTCCATTAACTATGGTAGCAACAAATTTCTTAAATCAATCAACCTTTTTTTTTTCCCTATCATTTAGATCGACTTAGAATTAGATTGATCTGTTGATTGGTAGATCAACAGATATCATGTGGGTTCCTTTTTTCTAAAGAACCCTAATTAATACAAGTTCTAAGTGGCCTAATAATGAGAAACAGCAGTCTCCTGCCCGGAGACCTCTCAATCAAACTAAGCAGTGATGAATACTATTAGTTTTTGTAAAGCTCCTTTTTTTTTTTTTTCCTGGTGTTTATCTCTGTATTTGTAGGTGTGTTCATTCCATAACTCTTGTTTTATCAGTGAAGAAAAAATTCTAGTGACCTATGACAAATGAAGATGAGACTCTTTATATGCCTCCTTCCCCGCCTCTAATGCAATTACCAGTATTTCAGTAATAATATCAGTATTAACATTATAAAAACTACTTAAATATTGGTCTTTGCGTTCCAATATAGTATATTATGATGACATGTACACTTGTGTACAGTTGTTTTCTCCAAACCAGTGTACTTTTAGAAAAGGCTGATTGAGTGTCAAGCTATCTTTCCCCATAGGAGACTCCCAAACATTAATTAATATGTCATTCTTTTCACTATTGACATTTTATTTCTCAACAGAAGGAACTTCGAGTTTCTTGCTCTTGTGTGAAACCTTGACTTCTGTGGTTTGGGAACTGGGTGAAAATTGGGGTGAAGATTTTCTGTTTCAGAATGCATACCTTTTCTGAATCCCTCTATTCTAACTTCAGCGCCCTATTATAATCAGAGCTCTTGGGCTTATTCTCTTCAAAGAGGAAAACCCTAGTTTTCTGTGTGGAGGAGGGGCAGTCACCTGGCTGCACAGGGTGGAGGTGGAATTGTCAATTTTGGTTTCAGCCCCTATCTTCCAAGTTTTCCTGAAGTTGAGAGCAGATCACTTTATTTTGTACACAGGGATCCCCCTCTGTAAAGACTTAAGATTCACCCTTCTCCACTGCACTAAATCAGGTACAATAATCCCAATTTCCTTTCTGCTTTAAAGAATTTCATTGGGATCACAGATATATCATCCGTTGATAACTGATGTACTTCTGGAAATATGCTGTTTTTAGCATCTTAGATGATGATCTCAAGTCTCAAACTTTGAAGATCAAAAAGACATATATTCAAGGAAAATTATATCCCTGTCCTCATTTTATTAAATTTTAAGTCACTACCCACTGCCACCATCTTCTCACACCTGCTAGGTGGCACCTTATCAGTTAGAATTGGAACTTTAAAACAACAACAACAAAATATTTTACAATATAAAATATAAAGTTTTTACAAATAAAAATCATATATTTGAAAAATGTATGTTGGTGTGAGAATATTTATTGTAGCATTATTCCTAGAAAAAAGTCTTGCTCTACAACCCAATATCTGGAAACTTATCAATAATATTTGGAAATCTATCAATAGATTGATTATAGTACTTAAATAAGATGCTAACCTCACTCCAACAAAATTACAATTCAGGAAAGTACAAGGAATATGAAAAATATTTACAGAAGAAAAAACATAGTCAACAAATATTTATAAAATATTCACTTTTATTTTTACTCAAAGAAATTCATAATAAAACCAGATACTACTATAAAAAATTTATTATATGACTATACCAGATAGTGAAATTCATTCTTTACTTTAGTGATCTCAATTAATCTATAAGGTAATTGTTCATTTCCTTTTCTCCATGTGGTATATACAAAATTTAATGATTTGCCTAAGGTTACCCAAATGGCAAATAGCCAGACTCATATACAAATAATAGTATATCCAACTCTAAAGGGGTAGGTAGTTCTACCCACTGTGCTATATTGCCTCTCACTCTTTTTTTTTTCATCTCTCATTTTTTAATGTCACATACTCAGACGGGTTATATATATATGCTGAGGAGAATTTAGTGTAATATTTAAGCAAAGTAACACACATTGAAAGGATTCATAGTCTTTGGACTAGCAATCCCTTTTAAGCATCTCTACTGAGGGAATCATCAAAAATTCAGATTTATGTACAAAGTTATTGTCACATTATTATTCAGAATAGCTAAAAATTGGAAACATCTTAAATGTCTAATGAATTATTATGCATACAAACGATTCAATTAAAGTTTTGTTTCCAGAGTATTTACTGATGTAGAAAAATGTTCATTAATGAGATATTAAGTGAAAAGCAGATGCAAAATGTACATGTAGCATAATCTCAATCACAATATAAATGTGTATGCACATAACACATTTACATACACATGGAAAATGATTAAATGGAAATATGTCAAAAGGATATAAAGCATATAATAGTTATTTCTGGCTGTTAATGGCTCAGGAATTTTTTTTCCTTAATTTTTCTTTGTATTTTCCAAATTTCCTACACTGAAGGTGTGTTACATAATCACAAGAATAAAAATATTATTTGTAAAGCACATATTTCCATAACATACTTTGTTATGACAATTTTTTTTGCTTTGAATATTTCTTGTATTTTTTCTTTACTTACAATGGTAATTTCATAGCAATTTCCATTGTTCAATAAAAATTTGGTATATATGTATGTGCATATCCTTTACCTATGTAGAGCTCATGATATTGCCATATAACTACTAAGTTGCAGAGTTCAAAGAGTAAACATACAAGTTTCTATTTTAATTTAGAGATACATTTGTGGTGTGATTATCCTAGTCTCATATAAAAGGATAATTGACTCCAGTTCATTTTCATAGAAAATTTAGGTAATTTTTGGCTTTATGGAAGCATAAACTTTCCCTTGCATTTTTACATACCATTTATATTATGTAAGTGCATTTGCATGAAATATAAGATATTTTACTACTATAATTTAGAATACAAGGATAATTGCTTTTAAAAGGAAAATATGACATCTTCATTTTTTATTTTCAGATTCTGGTTTGACTTTTGGTAATAATCAGCAGAAGGCCACTATCAGTCTCCTCCTGCAGAACATAATTTTTGTGGTATCCCAACCTAACATCATCTAAACACGCAAGAGGAAAAAAACAGTTCAACCCGGTGTGTGTTCTTTACTTCAATTAAACTCACACAGTTGGATACCTACTGTTGCCAAAACAGTAATATAATTTATACATTATAGTCCACACAGTAAAACTATACTAAAAGTCATTTAACAATATTTATAACATCATAAAATATAGTGTTAAAATATATGAACTGCAATATGTACCAAAATTATAAAATTTGTTTCTCATCATCAGTGATTAAAACCAGGATCATTGCTCTAGCCTCAATACTCACAACCCTGGTGACAGATTAGAATTCAAATCTTAATGATCAATTTACAATTAACAAGATAGAAGTGAAACAAATTAAACCAACCATTATATATAACAAGACCCCATGGACTCCCATTGTTCCTCTTAATTACAAAACGAAAATCACAAATACACAATGGGCAGTGTTAGACATCAATCCACAAGCTTAGCAACCCAGAAAGTGACAATGACGGAAAAGAAAGAAGAGAGGCAAAACCGCGTAGATGCTGGTTCTGTGCCCTCTTCAGTCCTTTTCAGCATGCAAGGGGAGAAAGGCTGAGCTCTAGCACACAGCTGACCTCCAGCATATATCATATGCACTTCAAGGCTGGCAGAGACTCACTCCCAGCCAGCGTCCACCTTTCTGAGCTCTTCCCTGGCCAGGTTTTAATCCGCAATGCAAATCGCACTGTTAACATTTTACTGCTTATTCATCTAAGCGCCTGGGGAGAAGGAACACTTCCTTCACTTGATAAAGAAAGATCACAGTTTTACCAAGATATTTAAATATCTCCCTTTACCTCCTTCAAAAACAACCCTATAACAGTAAGAAGCTCTCGGAGTACTGGGGAATACAGACGGAAGGGGTAGCTAAAGTTTATGTGAGCTTCAACTAAAATCAGCGAGAATGTCTGCCTGGTGCCAATTAAAAGCAAAATGGAATTAATCCTCTTGCCTGATGGTCAAAAACAAGCTATAAAAAATTTACAGAATCAGCATTTCATTTTTAGTTTTAAAATGGGATGTGCCATTCACAAACCCTGGGCTTGCAGACACCACTACGTGCACAGTGTGGAATACACACGGTGCAGAAAGTACCGTGTGTGCAAATCGCTATGGAGGCTTCCAGAGAACAGAAGTAATCCTCACTGTTATAATGCGACTTACTGTCTACTTGGGGGAGAAACCACAGACAACAGACACACACGAAGATACCATTTCAAAACATTTCCACAGAGCAGCCCAGCATGAGGCTAAGCAGAGAGTAAGAGTTTATGCGCACAAGGAGCCCAGGCTTTCAGCTTTTCTAGCGATTTTGCATGAACTCTTGTTAAAAGATGAGATTTGTGAGTAAAAAAGCTTATTTAAATGGTAGGAATCCATTTGTTTATGGCATTTTGAATAACATAAAACTCAAAAATACTGCTGTAAGGAAAGGAGAGTTAAAAATATGTGTTTTAAATTACTGATCAATACAAAATAAATACACTTACTTTCAGGAAAAAGTTTACTGTGGTACTCTGAGGAAAATTGGGATCAAAATTACCATATGGATTAGATATTTATTGTGGAGACTCAGACTCCACAATGACCAAACTTTAGAAACTCCAGGCTTTTTCTCATCTCAAAGTACAGGGAAATTATTTATCAAAGTTTGGAACAGGGTATGCAAAGCATACTCATCAAGGGCTTCTTCAGTTCTTATTACATTTATAATTTTTATTTAAAAAGAAATACTCTGAGCCTTCAAGTTCTGTAGATGGTTTTAAAGCAGAAGGTAACATCAAAATGGAACGTTAAATTTGGAAAGAATGAATTCTTGAAAATGTCATAGTAGGAATCCAGGGAGAAATGAGACTGGATTGATACAAACTTAAGAGCAAACAAACAAACAGACAAACCAAAAATCACAATTTATCCTACTTACTACTTTCTTGTGAAACACACAAAATGCACTTTTTGTAAATTTTGTGAGCACTTAAAATTTTAAAAATACTACATAGCAATTCACCAACTGTTTACTAACTTTCAGGCCTTATTTTTGAATTAACTTGTAAAGTTACAAACAGGTGACTATTTTAATCCAACAATTTTACCAAACCAGGTGCGAAAGCTTGACCTCTAACACAACCAGATCCACTTTTTACTAATGCTGCTTGACTCTTAAAAAGGGTTTCACTGTGATTCTGGCATTATATCTGTCAGAAAATGTACTCAGAACTTCCCTGGCAAGGGTAAGAGCTAGTGAAATGTTACCCAATTTACCAGTCAAGACCCTTAAAACAATGCCACCAGTGACACAATAGCAGCTAGTGTGTATTGCCACATGCCAAGCCTTCCTTATCTGCAGGTTCTGCATCCACAATTTCAACCAACCACAGACCAGAATGTTGGGTCTGTCCTAAAGACACAATTTCCTTGTCATTATTTTCTAGACAATACAGTGTAATAATTATTTACATAGCATTACATTTATATATTATGTATTAGGTATTGCAAGTATTATACAGATGAATCAAAGCATACTGAAGAGGGCCACATCTCTCTCTTTTATATTTTGAATCAGCTCTATAATATTTGCAATACCTCAGAGACGAGTATTTGCCTTCCATGTGTGAGGCTCTGGGTTTGATCCCCAGCAATGAAAAAACACATGTGTGTGTGTGTGTGTGTGTGATTTGCATGTTAACAGTGTGATTTGCATGTGTGTGTGTGTGTGTGTGTGTGTGTATGTATATGGGAGAATGCTATGTGGGTCGTATACAAATACTATGCCTTTTTATATAAGGGACTTGAGAATCTGCAGATATTGGTATCTAAAGGGGTCCTGGAACCAATCCCCCTTGGATACTGAGGGATGACAGTATATGCAAGTATGTTTGCTTTTCTATATATATTGTCTGAATTCCCACAACAATCCTGCAACATGATTTTGGAAATGTTTTTACAGATGGAGAAACTGAGCTTTGGGGAGATTTGGCAACATATTCAAGGTTGCACAGCTAAGTGACAAACTAAGACTCAAATCTAGTTCTTTCTGAATTCCAAATTGTTTTTTTTTGCACCCTGCTTGCCATCCACAAAAGAATAGGTACATATTGGAAATCATATCAGGGTATAGGCGGTAAAAACACACCTGTTTGTTTGTTTCATTCATTCATTCATTCATATGTTTTGGGTGCCACCTATGTGTCAGATACAGAGGAAAACACTTTAGGTCAGGAGCTGAAAGAAGAAAGAGGAGTGGAGAAGTGCCAAGGTTTAAATTCACTAGACTTGTAGAGGGTAAATTAATCTAGAGGAGGAAAAATAGGGTCCACAGGCACAGAGTACAGGTTAACCTTGGCTGGAAGGGTAGCAATTCTCCATGAAAATTTAAAGGTCATCTTTTCCTTCTAATCTTCCCCATCACCACTGTGGTCTAATTTTCTTTCTTTTTCTTTTTTTTAAAAATATATATACTTTTTTAGTTTTAGGTGGACACAATACATTTATTTTATTTTTATGCAGTGCTGAGGACCAAACCCAGTGCCTCACACATGCCAGGCGAGCACTCTATCACTGAGCTCCAGCCCCTTTCTTTTCTTTTTTTTTTTTTCCCTAAGAGATAGGGCCTTGCTATGTTGCCCAGGCTGGTCTCAAATTCCTGGGCTCAAGTAACTCTCTTGTCTTAGCCTCTGGAGTAGGTAGAACTATAGTGGAGAACCACCACATCCACTGAATCTGAGGTTTCTTAAGTACTAGATGTAAAATATTATAATTATTGTAATATAGACTTTAGAACCAGAAAGATCTAGGTTAGAATTTTATCTCTCCCATTTCCCAGTTACACAGTTTTGGTCTCCTTATCTATAAAAAAAGATAATAATTCCTATCTCAAGCTGTTGTGAGAATTAAATAATGTACATGAAGCACCTTTGTCTTTTTAATTTCCCTAATTATTTGACCTAAAGATAGGTTTTTTTGTGTGTGTTTGTGCAAAATTATAGTAATAGATTAAAATTTGTTAGCTGTATCAACATAAGATTTTTAAACTGCTTGGTTTATCTGCATTCTTTATTAGAATAATTACTATCTTAAGCTTTGTTTTCTGAAATTTCATACTAAACTTTAAAAAAGTCAGATAATAATATGTATACAAAATAATGGAAAACATTAAAGTGTTTATATGAACAATTAAGAAAAAACATACAAAAATATTTTCACAGAAAACTTATATCAACAGATAACTAATTTTAATATTAGATTATAATAGTAGAAATGCTGTTTTTCAAAGAAAAATCACAGTAATCAAACAAACAGTGCTCTGAAAATATTATACAACATTACCTACCTGCTTTTTTGAGAGATTTGTTCCAGTTTCTTGGCTAATGTACAGCATTCTTCCTTTAACTTTGTCAAAAATGTATTCTGGGAGGTCAGCAATGAATACTGTTCATTTTCTAGAAAATAACAATAAATCCCCAACAACATAAGATGTTTATAGTTGTAGCTCTGCAGGGCTTTCCATATGTAGAGTGGTAAAGTGCGTTAGCTCACTACATATTTCCTAGAAGTCACTAGAATACTTTCAATGTCCTAAATTAAAGGACCTGTCAACTGGTAAGACACTAAATCTTGTGAGACATTTATTTTCATAATAAAATTATACACCAGTAACATTTTTGATCATATCAGCTTAGAGTAACATTTCAGCATGTTCATAAATTGTCAAATACCTCAAGTGGAGTCATAGATGCTTATATCTTTGTAATATGCAAGATATTATATTTTTATTTTGACAATGCTACCATAAACAGTGTCAAAATTCTCACAACCAGATAATTCAAAACTAAAATCGAGGAATTCTCTTTTACACTGAAACTCGTGCTTTATGTTTCACATTTATGCACATAGTTTACTACTCACACCCTCCCCCTTGAATCTTGGATATACTTCTCCTAATTATGAAGATAAACTATGTGCTTTTCCTTAGAATGTTGATCTTATTGTCAACAGTATGTGCTTCCATGAAGATTTGGTCAAAGAAATTGAGTGTGCAAAATAAATGGAAGTGTTTTAAAGGTGGTTTTAACAGCTTAAAAACTCTTATCTAATGCTCATTTTCTGCCCAAGACTCTTTAATCACTAGGAGCCTGCTAGCAGTAGGGGCCAACAATAATTTATCCTATAATTTCCTCTGTGTTTTTAGTGACATTATTTACATGAATCTGGTGAATTTTCATTTCTTCCCGAAAAATGTGGTGAAAAGAAAATCTCTACTGAAAGTGCTGAAGAGAATTTTGTGAGTCAATATGACATTTACCTCTTTATAAGTAAATAAATTTAATAAGTTAATAAGTTTAATAAAGTTAATAAGTTTCATGATAGTGGTTTTCCACCTATGAGACAGGAAATAATTTTGTACTGTGTCATCAAATACAATATACATTAAATCCTGTGAAAATTACCTCTAAGTCTAAGTTGTGATAGCTCCTTTATTCCTTTTTAATTTTAGCTAATGATTGGCAAAAAGCATATAGCACACAAAGCAAAATAAATCAAGGCACTAAAATTAAGCAACATTTTTCTGGAAGAGACAGGATCAATTAAACTTTTGTTTTAATAGTACAATCAGCGTGGAGTATGTGGTGTGGAATTATAATGACTGACACTGTCTTGTTTTGACTAACACTGTCTGTGAACACACAACTCAAAAGTGAAAGGAACTACATAATGCTCCAACTGAACAAATCAAACTGCCTATTTTCAAAGTGCATTTTACTTTCAAATTAAAGGTAAAGAGTTACTGGCCAACTCAGTTTGCAGAATAGTGCCAATGTGATGAAAGATGGCAATTTTTAGCCAAGCTGCCAGCTGTGGTCAATGCCTTGTATTAGTGAATTTTAACAGCAGTTGTGAGAACTTGAAGAATGCAAAGGATTAAACATCACTCTAGATTGGATTGGGGGAGGTGGGGAAATCATACAAATGCTAAAAATGTTCGAAGCTGCAAAGATTAAATAAAGGAACATATCAATTTGGAGCCACTGAATTACATCCAGCTGCGACAGTGAATTAAGAACCGATTAATGGCTAAAGCTTTTCTCCAGTTTGGATGCTGAAGCAAACTCATTAGGCTTTTAGAGTAGCTATAATGTGTGTACTGTGGGAACTGTTCAATGCTATTCAGGAGACTCTAACTGTAAGCTCAGAGCATTTCCCGCAGAGCTTCTGATGCTATTTTCTTTATATAACATGTGTGCCTGAAAACCCAGCCAAAAACAAGCCCTTTGTTTTTCTACTTTGTTGTGGTCTCTCTCAGCTTTACGTTTCTTGAACACAGGTAAATAAACTCATAATCCAGATGGTGCAACAGATGTGAGAGCAGCACTCTGAAATCAACAGACAGTGGGCAATACTTTCCATTTTCTCTTTTAAACGCTAACTAATATGTAATTCGGAATCTCCGGTGTAGTTAGCATCTGCTCCCTTCGGCCAGCCAAAGGTTACAGGTGTTCCTGATGTCATTTCACAGTAAGGCGTGGGCCTGGCTTGTGAGCGAGTGCCCAGGCTCTAATCTTTCCTTACCACCTACCAGTTTTGTCATGCTGGGCCTCCATTTGCTGTATCTTCTGTGTCAGCTCCTGCTCTCTTTGCTGGGCCTGAAGGGCTTGGGCCTTTGCTTCGTTGCTGAAGCTTTGCTGAATGCTATCTTTTTCCAGTCTGCAAAACAGAAAGGAGACATACAGAAATGTAATTTGCAGATCAACAGACCTCCATCACTCCCCTGTGGACCATAGAGAGCCCATAGGTAGTAAGTAAATTGTGAAGCATAAGAGGACAACAATCTTTCCACAGAACCCCCACCTTAGAAGGGGGGACAATTCAAAAGGACCTATCATACAATATGAATACACATCATAACTCCATTTACACAAAAGGACACAGTTCTAAAAATTAAAATAAAATGATAAATGAATAAAGATATTGTAAAACTGTAACTTTAAAGTACACATACCTTTTTTCCCCCCTCTTTTGTAACATTCTCACTTGTACTGTCAATTAATCTTTCATCCTCTGAATGGTCAGTATTTCCTGAAGATCTTAGAATTCTAGCAACAGTAATGACTTAATTTTGAGTTTGAGAAAAACTTAAAAATTTGTTTTTCTTTTTTTCTTTTTTTATTGTATCACTGTGGGTTGAATCCAGGGGTGCTTTACCAATGATGTACATTCCAGTATTTTTTATTTATTTTGAGACAGAGTCTCTCACAAAGTTGCCCAGGCTGGCCTTGGACTTGTAATCTTCCTGCCTTAGCCTCCCAAATTGCTGGGATTACAGGCGAATGCCACCATGCTTGACAATCAAAATCTTAATTCTTAAAATTAAGCTTTGTAGGCCACTTCTGGTTTTCCTCCAAAACTTAAAATGGAATCTCAAATATAATACAGGAGGCTATCTAGAGGCCAGTAAATGATTCTATAGCACTGCATGCATGTTTTCGTTAAATATTTTCACACATCAGGCCGTATAATGTGAATATAAATATGAATATGAAAATGAATAACTTTCCTCAGCACTTCATAATAAAATTTATTTTGGGTCACACTGAAAGAAACTGCAGGATGAAAAGCTTCTATAGTCAAAGATAATATCCCATCCCACTGTGATAGGATATTGACCTATCCTACTAGGTCAACATCCAATCACACTGGCTCTTAAATAAAGAAACTTCTTGAACGATTAGAACCTAAGCAATTCAAAGAACCTTATTACTACAACATTGCAGATGAAGACACTGTGCATATGTACCATGCACGTGTGTACACACACACACACACACACACACACACACACACACACACACACACACACACACACACACACACACTACATTGGTTCTTCAAACTCTAAATATGAGTGTTATGAGGGTTTCCTTCTATTAAGTGACTTAGTTATTTCTATCTTCTGATCTCCTTGTGGGCATTTCTCATCCATGCTGCTTTAGTTTACTAATTGAGATATTTACTGACTAGCCTTTGCCAAACTAAAAATAAACAATTCCATAAAGCTATCACTACCAGTCTATGTACCGCTGTGGAACTTCAATTCACTGGCTTCTAATTATAAAGCAACATAAGGAAAGCCTGTATTGAAATTGGTCAATGCATGTGGTAATGTTGTAGTGTAAAATTCCAGAATGAAAATACACCCACACCTCACTCAAATGGAATCATCAGGGGTCCATGCTAAATGTGAAATAAGGTCCCGTCTGGTACTTCTAACAACAACACCCCCCTGGATGTGGTCCAAGGTCTTGTCTCACACTCAGTTCCAAAGTAGTACATTGCAACAAATGGATAGTCAGACGAGGCTACTTTTTGCCTTTCCCATCACACCACGCATTTTCTGGCTATGGATCATTGCAAATGTTTCTTTCTCTTCCTGGATTGCCCCCGGCCCACCCATCCAATTCCCCTGTATCATTCATACTATTCCTTTAGGGCCTACTTCAAAATTCTTCCCTCCTCTTCCCCCTCTCTCTCCTAAGTAAACTTTTCTTCCCTTATGACCTCAATATATGTTGTATACACCTGACGCCCTTCACATTTTAATTACTGGTTTACATGTCTGTCTCCTTTTGTCATGCTCTACTCTGAGTCCAGCTCAGTGTTTAGCACATAGGAAGTGGGCAGTGAATGTTTAAAATGTGAATGTTTTTACACCCTTGACATGGGGATAGAAGAAGAATGCAGGGCTGGGGATGTGGCTCAAGTGGTAGCGCGCTCGCCTGATATGCGTGCGGCCCGGGTTCGATCCTCAGCACCACATACCAACAAAGATGTTGTGTCCGCCGAGAACTAAACAATAAAACATTAAAAATTCTCTCTCTCTCCTCTCTCACTCTAAAAAAAAAAAAAAAAGCCTGCATAATAAAAACTGCACAGGTATCCTTTAAAAAAAAAAAAGAATGCAGTCTTTAAATGAAACTGGAGAATATAAGTCTCAGATGAGGAGACAAACATTTTTCAGAGATGTTAGAAAAGAATGATTAGATGAGAATGGCTTTGCCAAGTAGAGATGGTCCTGCTAAAGGAATCGGTTTAAGAAGTACTATGGTCTCTTGGATCATGTTCAAGTCAGACTTGAGGATCTTAGTTCCCTAATAACTGGGTGACCATAAAATGTACTGTCCAAAACCAATATGCATTTAAGAGTGAAAAGGAATATTATTAATTAGCATATCAACTTAATAGTCATATCTGAGAATACCCATTGCAAACTGGGACTTACAGTTCCTCAACATACAGGGATTGCGAAATCTAACCATCAAGTTTTAGAATGAGAAGCTGCCTAATCACTAGAAAAAAGAACTGTCACAACTGTAGTTCTCTTTATAAAATAAAACAATGTAAAAGGCCCCTCTACCAACAAATGTTGTTACACCTTGTGTTTCTTGAATCCTTCCCCAATTTTCACACTACTTGATATACTACGCATGTTATTTATCATGAGATACAACCGTGATATATTTCTAATATCCTACCTCCATCCACCTACCCCTTCCCTCCTATATTGCTCCCTCTCCTTGCAGGTTCTTTCTGGCTTGGTAAGCTTTAAATGAAACCTCTGAACATTAGAAATAAAAGGAATTTCAAATTTGTTTCATCAAATACTCTCACTTTATAGCTCAAAAACAACTACCACTGTGAGGACCACAAAGAATTTAAAATGCACTCAGAGTTTACACAGTGAATGCAAAGGTAGAATTAAAAATATTTTTATTCAGGAAAACTTATTTTATAATACTCTAGAGATAATGAAATAATGGATTAAAAGAATTAACATAAATCACTTAGGTATCTGAGGAAAGGACTACAGAAGAATTCAAATCAATCCATTAAATACTTATCATGACTATTATGTGAAACACACTCTGCAGGACATTGGGTCAAATAGAGATAAATAAGACCTAGTTCTTGTCCCTAGTAGGGAGTTCAAAATGGAGATTTGTACACACACACACACACACATAGAGAGAGAGAGAGAGAGAGAGAGAGGGAGAGAGAGATATTAAATAGCAGATGGTAAAATGTTTACCAAGAAAAGTAGTACAAGAGGAAAAAAACTATCAAAGGATAGAAAAATGAGAGATCAATTCTACCTGGGCATGGGAACCTTGGGAAGGATAGCTAAGCCAGTTACCCCCAACTGGTTTTCTGTCAGTTCTGACTCAAAACATTGATGATTTATTTTTGTGGTACTGGGGAAAGAACCCAGGGTTACTCTACTACTGAGGGACATCCTCAACCCTTTTTATTTTTGATTTTGAGCCAGAGCCTTGCTAAATTGCATAGGCTGGCCTCAAAATTGGGATTGTTCTGCCTCAGCCTCCTCGGTAGCTGGGATTACAGGTGTGCACCACCATGTATTGCTGATAACCTCTTTTAACCAAACTTGTGGTTATCCAACCTCTTTTAACCAAACTTGTGGTTATCCAACCTCTTTTAACCAAACTTGTGGTTATCCAACTCCTTTAACCAAACTTGTGGTTATCCAACCTCTTTTAACCAAACTTGTGGTTATCCAACCTCCTTTAACCAAACTTGTGGTTATCCAACCTCTTTTAACCAAACTTGTGGTTATCCAACCTCTTTTAACCAAACTTGTGGTTATCCATATTTGCCAATCAAAACAAAAGTGATGGCAGTAAAGAAGACTTTCTTGGTATTTATTACAATTACTTTTCTTGGTAAACATTTTACCATCTGCTGAAAGGATTTTTTCATAATGTCTGAAAAGTAGAAACAATCTAAATGTCTATCACTTGCTAAATGGATAAGCAGACTGTAGTACAGACTTACAAGAGCATGCTAGGAATACCAGCAATAAAAGGAACAAGCTACTCTTACATACAATACTGAAATGAGCCTCAAAAGCAGTATGCTTAAAGGAGCCACGCCCCAAGGACTCAAATCATATTTTATGATTTAATTTGCATAAATACTTTAGAAAAGTACTGGAGTGACAGAAAGAAGATCAGTGTTGCCAGGTCCTGGAGGAAGGGGAGGAACACAAGGACACTTTTTGAATTAATAGATATGTTCTGTATCATTATGATGGTTCCATGACTGTATCACTTGTCAAAACACATGTAACTGCACACTTAAAATTTGTGACTTCTAATGTATTTAAATTTACCTCCATAAAACTGATTTTTAAAAGGAGCAAATGTTCTAGCATAGAAACATCTATCTTTATTCTTCAAGTTATTCATATTACCTGTAGTCCATGCATGTACTGGCATGACAATGTTGTCTTGGTAGAAGCACAGAAGGAGTGAATCAGCACTGGGTAGGCCTCAAACATATACTAAATACACAATTACTTAGTCTTTTTTTCTATTTATAGTCTTGAGTGACTGTATTTTCTAAAAATGGCTGCAATGATATTTATCATCCCACTTTCCATATAATTTATTATTTTAAAACTTGCCATTTAAAAATACAAGAGCAAAAATGACTTGTTAGAGTTTTTTTTTTTAAATGAAGTTTAAATTTTACAATTAGATTGAGGGACCAAGAGTTTCTAATGATTTTAAAATTCAATAATAAGCCAAGGTCAGGAACAATGACTGCATCAAGTCTGAGAACCAAGACCTTATAGTGGCAGTGACAAAGACACCCCTCCTTTATGCTATGTCTCTCTATTAACCATTTTA